GAAATAGAGACTCGGCACCCCCAAACTCCACTTTTTTCTACACAATACCTAATTATAGTAAAAATAACATCTTAATTTTATGATGGTATGCACACACAATTAATATTTAAGAGAAACATAGTCGCCGTTAATGTCCATTCAAATAATGGACCAACTCCCCCCTTTTCCCACGCTGGTTCCTCCCTCCTGGAAATGTTGGTGAAACAGTAGGCTTATTTCAGTAATAAATAATACCTCAGACTAAGTTAAGATATATTGACATTGCTGGATTCCTTGCAAGACCAGGAATATTTTGAATATAAATATATATTTGCACAAAAGATAAAATTTTGTTTAATCAAAATTTTACATTAGATCTAAAGTTTGTATGTCTAATGCAAATTTTATGATGTTTATATTTAAAATAATCACAATCTTACAAGAATTCCAGCAATGTAAATTATATTCTGGCTGTAATTTGTATGAATTTTATGAGCTAAAACAAATATCTTCAGTAAATAAACAAATTATATCACCCAGACACTATCTCTCAAATCAAAATACCCACCTCCTGCTCCCTCTCCCACGCTTGCTGGGTCCTCCTCCTCCTCCCTCCCTCTTCAACCCCCACCTTCCTACCACAGAAATGTTTGGGTGAAAACAGTAGGCTTAAATTTTTATAAATAATACCTCAGACTGTTAGGATAATATAATTGACATTGCTGGATTCCTTGCAAGACCAGGAATATTTTGAATATAACGCTATATATTTTGCACAAAGATAAAATTTTTGCTTTTTCTAATCAAAATTTACATTAGATCTAAAATTTGTATGTCTAATGCAAATTTTATGATGTTATATTTAAAATAATCACAATCTTATAAGAATTCCAGCAATAAATTATATTCTGGCGGTAATTTGTATGAATTTATGAGCTAAAACAAATATCTTCAGTAAATACAGTAAACAAATTATACTTTACCCGCGCAAGTGATCAAATTTACCGCGTAATTAAATCATTTCATTCTGGCAAGGCACCAGAATGACCAAAAACGCGTAAACAATAGCCTACTTAAATGCAGACTCCACTGTAATATGCAAATGGCACCTGTGTTGAACTTTTATATACTGATTTGGTGATACGGTATTTTTTGTTGGCATTATTTTGATTTATTCCTCACATTTCCTGGTACAGTACTGTATACTGTATATTATTTTAAGAAAATTATGGATACTGGAGGAAAATACACTTAAAATATTTTTCCTAAATACTCCCTACCGTAAAATGTCACTGTATTTTTGGTGTTTTTGGTCATTATTTATCGGTTTTATACATTTAGTACATTCGCGAGGCTGAAATAGCATTCGTCTTTTTTGCATTATTATTGAAAAATTAAACGATAAACATGGCCCCTAGGAAAGTGTTTGGTATCCATATGGGTGTGAGAAGGCTAGTTCCATTTAGTGTACTAAAAGTACTGGTAAGTGTGCAGTACTTTATGTACGCATTTTTAAATTAATTTGTTTAAAAAACATATACTGTACCTGTATTTCTTTCCTAAAACTTGGATACATTGGTGTTGTAATTACTTATTTTTTTAAATGGCGGTCTTTTTTGAAAAATTTGCTCTAAGGTGGACAACCTCTTATCCCGGACACCCCTTCCCCCAATTAGTCCGCCTTAAGAGGATTTACTGTATTAGTATAAATTTTATCAAAAGATCGACAAATGTGTGTAGTGTAGGCAGTTGCGCGCCCCACAGGGTACATCACCGACCCGGGCTACACTACATAGTATAATTTTATTTATTCCTCGCGTTTACTGGTACAGTACTGTACTACAGTATACATGTGGCACAGTTCAGCTGGGCAGTCACCCAGCTGGCTGACTAAAGTGAAGTGTGTGGCTGCTGAGCTGTCTGTATGCATTGATGACACATAGGGGGTGAGGAGAGAGCCTGACTGCAGTTACAGCTCACTGCCCACACATACATTTACTTCCCACACATGCACATCAATGCTCTTCATTTTTCTTATTTTATAGTTTTATATTATATTTTCTTTATTTCTAAGCCATATTAGGGTATTGTAATTATTTGATTTGATTTTTCTCAAACGAGCACAGACAAGTGATGAACACTGAGGTAGTGAGAGATGCTTGTAAAGAGAGTGAGATCATACATTTTAAATTGGAAAAGATTTAGAAATTCAATTATACCAACCAAGACCTATCCAGGGGTTGACTGTGGGTCAGACTATGTCCCAATAATGAGTTTAGTGAGGTTAAACTTCACAAATAAAAAATAATGGCAAAACCAAATGGGATTTAGGGAAGCTCAAAATGGGCAAGAATAGACTATGAAATTGAAACACAAAGCAGTTTTTCACTATTGCTAGAGGAAATATTTCATGAACAAGAAAAATAATAATTGCTATTTTGTCAATTTGACCAAGGACAACTGACAAAGCTACGGTGCTTATTTCCTGTAGAGTCCTTATGCCAGCAGCATCTGGTGTTCTTCAGGCCAGGCAGTCACTCATCCAAATACTAACCACACCCATTGTTGCTGAAGTTCACTCATTGACCAAGAAGTAGTGTTTCCATTTTGGTACAACTGGCACAACAGAACAAAAACAGAATAATTACAGAGAAATAATATTAGAGAGATGGGAGAAGCTTTTTGGACATAAGAGGAATGAGGCTAAAAGTGAGTGGATCACAAATGAAATATTAAAGAAAATGGAAAGATGAAGAAAGATGGTAAAAGGAGGTGATGCTTACAAACAACCTAATAGAGAAACCATCTTTATTACGTTGATTTACTTGTACAGTATACATATGGGGAAAATTGCTGTGTTATTCATAAAATCATTATATACAGTATTACAGGTTGACAACCCTTTATCCGAAATTCGAAAAACCGAAAAGCTCTGAAAACCGAAAGTTTTTTTTGTGGGGCCAATTTTATTTTTATTTTATTTATTTAATTATTTATTTATTTATTTATTTTTTTAACAGATTAGCCTACCCGGGCATAGATCACTGACCCACATCAGGGTCTGGGGGGAAAACAATACAGGTTGTACCTCTCTAGTCCAGCATTCTGTGGTCCGAACTCGTGGTCGGGACGATTTTTGTTTGTCCAATAGGTAGATAGGCAGTTTTTTTTTTTTTTTTTTTTATATACTTATCTGAATTATTATTATTATTACAGGAGTATTAAATTTTTGCCCCTCAGGCCTTAATGTGGGTCAGTGACCTATTCCCGGGTGGCTAATCCCTAAAAAAAGCTGAAATAAAGGTTGTTTACTCTACTTGTCTATACAGAGTACAACATTTAACCCTTCAATATATATGAGCAGTAAATAAGTGTTGCTTTCATATTCTTATGTAGAGTAATGACGATATATTTTCAAATGTGCGCACTTACATACGAGCAGTCTCACTTTTTTTTTTACCATTAATGGTTAGCTTCTTATATTGTTCCATTTATTAACATTAAATAACATTACAGGTACTTCAAGCAACCATATTCATTTTTTTACATTAATTTTACTACAGCTAAACTCAGGGTCTTATTTTCTTCAGTTTTATATGTAGAACCAATCAGTCACTGGTTTCGTAAGCTTTAACATAAACAATGCCGGCAGCCGTATCGTCTCCTCTAATATTCCACGTATTATTAATAAATTGTATTGTTAATTTTGCACACTTACATTAATTCAATAAAAACAAATTCAGAAACATAAATTAAAATATATATGAACAGTAAATAAGTGTTGCTTTCATATTCTTATGTAAAGTAATGACGATATGTTTTCACGTGTGCGCATGCGCACTTACATATGCGATCTCTCTTTTTTCTTTACCATTATCGTTAGCTACTTCTATTGTTCCATTTATTAACATTAAATAACATTACTTAAAACAACCATATTAATTTTACTACAGCTACAACCAAGGTCTTATTTTCTTCAGTTTTATATGTAGAACCAGTCAGTCACTGGTTTTGTAATCAACGAATACAATGCTGTTTCATTTCCTCGTGTGTTTTAATATTCTACGTATTATTAATGAATTGTATTGCTCATTTTGCACACATAAACATTAATTCAATACAAAAGACATTCAGTAATAAACAAAAATGAATCTTTTGTACATAAGAGAAATGACGCTGTTTACACGATTATGCACGTCGTCTGCACGTTGGCGGGCCGTTCAAACCCGTCGAAATTCAAGTTTCCGCCGTCAAAATTTTTATTTATTTATTTTTGTGTGTGTTCCAATAAAATACGTTAAGAATTAAAAACTCGCGAAATTTGAGAAGCTACTATACGACATTTAACCCTTCAATATGTCTTCAAAGAGACCATGATGCAGAGAAAGTGGTGCTAGTGCTTCCAGGCATAAGCACAAGTCACTATCTATCCAGGAAAAGGGTGAATTTCCATGGTCCGGCAATTTCCATGGTCCGGCACCGGTCAGGTCCCGAGGTTGCCAGACTAGAGAGGTACAACCTGTAGTAATAATAATAAATATTCATAGTAAATAAAATTTTTAATAAAAATACACCAAAATAAAATAATAATGATAATGATAATAATAATAATAATAATAATAATAATAATAATAATAATAATAATAATAATAATAATAAAGAAATACAAGAATGAAAAAAAGATCAAAAGTGAGAAACACGACCTAGACCTATGAATTATTATTATTATTATAATTTTTATTATAATTTCGCCCCCCAGGCCCTGATGTGGGTCAGTGATCTATGTCCGGGTGAGCTACTACTCATTAAAAAAAAAAAAAAAAAAATCCTTTTGATAACCGAAAAATTCCGAAATGCCCCTGGCCCCCAAGGATTTCGGATAAGGGATTGTCAACCTGTATATGGATTTTTAGGAACAGAACCCATAAGAATTTTGAGGACTCCCTGTTTTTCATTTACCCATGAATAAATATCTTCACATACGATGAAACTTCATGACACTCAATTTTATTTATTTACAGGTGGAACAACTGTCTCAGCCTTATGCTTGGAAAGCTCGAGATGTATTTGGAGTGATTGTGACGACTACACCACCCCAGTTACTTGCGATGATCCAGGCTTTCTTCAACAATGCTCTTCTCATTGATGATGACTTTCTCATAAAAAAGATACTTAGTAAGTCATTGCAAACAATATTTTTATTAAGACAAACCTGTAAGTTACCTGAATGTGTTCACTGTTGCTCATACTGTTTTTGCTACAGCTATAATCACACATTTGTTGAAACCAGGATTTTTTCATTGAAATTTCCTTTGCATTTTTAGTCAGTTGGTGAGAGGGATCACACAACCCAGCACCATGTCAAGGAATACCCAAACTTTATGGTGTGTGCAGCTCTCCCATTGTATGATAGCCTTTACTATTCTAGATGTGGGGTTTGGCTTGAAGCTCAAGTGATGTTAGTCTGATGTGGTCATATTGGAAGTGGAAGTACTGGAAAGTTTTGTTTTGGTAATTGAATGGGGGGGGGGGGTATACTGGATATTCTTTCTCTGTCACAAAATGAAGGGTTGTCTGAAGATGTGGAACCCCAGTAGGCAGTCTGTGTAATGAGAGTCACCTGGCTATGAACTTCACTAGAAAGTAGGAATTAGGATCAATGCACCATTTATAAAAGAAAAGGTCCTACATGATTCTTTGACAAATCTGAAAGATATTTTTTGCACTTGCTTCAGTTTATGTGGAGAATAAAACAGTATGGCATACTTCAGAGCACTCAGGTTTAGGTTGAAAGAATGGTTTATTTTCTATATACGTAGTGTACCTTAGTGTGATATCAACTGATCCAGGAAATTTTATTTTATGGTACAGTATACTCATGTATATGTGTAATTGGTTATAGAGTATGCTGTACTATGGTAATTGTTTACAAAATTTGAATAAGATGTTTGGCTTCTTTATGACTTCTGTATTTTATTTCGTATTTCATAGTAGAATTACGTTATAAAAGTTTTTGAAATAATTTATTTATTTATTTATTTTTTGCGAGTCAACATAGTAGTGTAAATTATGACATTTCTTTCCAGCTATTGAAGTTATAGGCCAGCCATCTACCTTGGAAGATCCTCTGAGCATCCCCCAGTGTGTGACCCCCGGCCCTTGGAATGTGGATCGTGTGTCTCTCACACAGATGGAGATTGCTCGTGGTGTCTCGCCCATTGGTTACCCGGGTATTGTTTCTAGTCAAGGCAAAATCTTGGTGTTAGAGTTCTTATCATTTTGGTTCCCTCATTAGTATATGTGATTATTGTCATGAGCTGGAAGATGTCTTCAACAAACATAATCAGAGAATATTTTATTTTATTTTAAAAGGGATATTTCCAAGTTTGAAATCATACACAGTACTGTATTAGCATATTGTTTTATTAAAATTTTATGTAATCAGTATGATAGTCTTGGAGATAAACAATACAGAATAAGTTATCAAATTCATTGGGGATGTACCAGTATTTCATAAGCAAACAAGTCAACTATATTACCCCGGCACCCCTTCCCTCATCAGCAATATCAAATATATTTATACTATTGTATAAATATTTGTTACTTTTTGTTTTCTTTTACATGTTGTAGTTGCTTATTGTGTTATTGTCACAGTAGTGCGCTGTGTAAAGCAGGAGCTAACGCTCCCTTCCCCTTCTTGATGTGATGATGAGTCCTCGTTAGATCCTTGTCATTCCTCCACCTCTTTCCCTTGTTTGGTTATGTAATACTATACTTGGCCATCCCCTTCTGTATGCATACATTTACAGTAGTTGCTAAATGAAAGTTTTCATCTTTTTATTAAATTTAAAAATGCTGTTTCATAATAAGTGCAAACAAAACTTATTATTGAGGCTTGTTGTAAAGATGAAGCATGCCATGAGTTAGGTTGTGTTGAGAACAAATACTCACCCATGTAAGTGTTGACAACACCTTCCAGAAGTCCTCCAAGTGTGAACCCTCCAACAAACAAGGGAACTAAGCCTACATTTATTTGCAGTAAGGCTGCTTTGCCACTCATAAAATAACTCTTACTGCATCCCTTTGTCAGGCTTAGGACTGCTTGTCAGATTTGTCATTATTTTTGCTTTTTAAATTCTTATTTCAAAGACCTGTATTTTTCATTATTTTGTGATGCCCAGAAAACTGTTAGATTTTAAATAGTTTCTTATATAATTTTATACCATATGAACATGTGCACAATGCTTGTTACCAAAGGATAGTTTGCTCGTGTTTAGTGGATATCAGTGTTAGCGTAAGCACTGTTAGGAAATTAGACTTAATATTCAAGAAAGCTTTTCTAGATTACTTTATTTTTCTCAAAACTTGAGCATGATAGAGCATGTAGTGTGAGCTGTTACGGTCATCAATATTTTCAATTACAGGTTCTCGTTTTTATTATTATTTTCCACTAAACTGTAGTTTATTTTGATATATGATTTTATTTTGTTCATATCCTTATTTCTCTGTATAGGCTGACCCTCTCTTACCTGGCACTTTGGGCTAGGGCCACTCCGGATAATAGATATATCTATTAAATAGGTCGATATTTAATGGTAAAGTCTCTTTCAAAAGTTGGGCGCATACCCTCTCATACCCCCACCACAGATTGTGGTTTCACCTGTCGGTGAGAAGCAAAACCAATGTCCACCATAACCAGAGTTTCCTGTTATCAAACCCCACCAAGTGTTCCCTTTATCAGTGAGGCGAGGAAACAAGGTGTTGTCATACCCAGAATATTACTGCCGCTAGTATCATTACTGACTTACATAATATGACATTTTAAAAGTTTGATGGCTAATGTATTTCAAGGATTTAGCACCACCTGTTGTAAGAGGTATGACATGTACGATTATATATTTTTTATTGCTGAACATGATATAAAAAACAATAAGGATTTAGTTCTAATTATTTCAGCTGTATTCTACCGGCAACCTGATTAGGTAAACAAATACTGCAAGTCTTTCGTTTATTTCCATAATAAACATAAACTGTAATACTTAAATTATAGGTGAAAATGCCAAATAATGAAATTACCCGTGTAATAATGTTCTCCAGTATTATATCATAGCCAGCATCAGTAAAATCCCTTCTCTATCGGCTGTGGAGGGTTGAAGTCTTCTAAATATCGAGTTTTGTATATGGAAGCTTATTTGGGAATTGAATGTCTAATTGTCCGTTGAGTTGGGTGAAATGAGGAGGAAGGAAGAGGAGTTGAATAATACAGCTTTACGTGTGAAGATCTGATTTTATCTAAATACAATACAGTATTCATATTTCTTCTAAAACTACTACTACTACTTTGCTGTCACTCGGAATCAAGTATGACGATCATCTAGCTATGATACAATGATATGAGTTACTAGGGATGTCACCTAGGTTGGAGAGTTTTGAGGTGGCTAAAGAGGCCGATACGGGACCAGCAGAGTCGTCCACAGATGTTGCACATGTGGAGGGCTACATCTAGTGCGGGAGGGACGGCGGCAACGCCTTTCCGGCATTGGTGCTTGTCTGCGTCAGTTTGCAATCGGGCTAACTCGAAGGTATTGACACCTTCTCGTGTGGTGCTCCTCCAAGCGTTATGATGTGGAGTAATCGACTCCCAGGTGAGGCGGACGATTTGGAACTTTTTCAGGTTTGTCTTAAGACTATCCTTATACCTTTTAAGTTGCCCGCCGGCGTTACGTTTACTATTCGTTAGGTGACTGTAAAGTAGCTGCTTTGGCAGTCTACTGTTGTCCATGTGGGCAACATGGCCAGTCCAGCATACTTGTTCATGGATAATGGTAGCCTCAATGCTCCTACAGTTGGTGTCAGCAAGGATGCTGGCATTTGTTATCTTGTTTTCCCTGCGAACTTGTAGGGTGGAATGTAGACTATGTTGGTGAAAGTTTTCAAGTGCCTTGAGATGTGTCCTGTATGTAACCCATGTCTCGCTGCCATATAGCAGGGTGGGGAGGACCACTGCTCGATATACGTGTAACTTTGTAAATAATTTCAGCTCCCTACAGTTGAAGACACAGTTTCGGAGTCTGCCAAATGCTTGAGATGCAGATCTGATCCGATGTTGAATCTCTTCATCGATGTCCATGGTGATGTATAGGTGGGAGCCGAGATACTGAAAGTGGGTAACTTTAGAGAGGGTAGTACCGTTAAGCCGGATGGATGGTGGAGGTGTGTCTGAACCACTGGCAGGTTGAAAGAGAATCTGAGTCTTACATACAATCACCTCAAGGCCGAAGTGTGTATACGCATCTGCGTAGGTGTTCAGGATCTCCTGTAGGTCGCATTCGGTGTGAGCAACAAGAGTGAGGTTGTTTGCATACTGAAGTTCAGCAGTGTGCCTGGAGTCGTCTTATGTTAAAAAGACTCCCCTTCACCAGGTACTCGATGTCCACCCCCGCCGGCTAAATTGGCACTGGCACTAGTAAGGAAGGCAGCCAAGAAAATGGAAGAGAGAGTTGGTGCCAGTACACACCCTTGTTTAACCCCTGTTTGGATGGGGAAGAATTTAGACTGGGTGCCATTGTGCAGGACACTGCTGTTCATGCCATCGTGGAGTTGTCTCACAGTGGTGATGAATTTTGGGCAGCAGCCAAAGCAGTTGAGGGTCCACCAGAGGGCTTCCCTGTTGACCAACTCTAAGGTCTTGGTTAGGTCACGACGCTGTTCTCTGCACTTTTCATGTATCTGGTGGGCAGCAAAGATCATGTCAGTGGTGCCACATGATGGTCTAAAGCCACATTGAGATTCTGGGAGGAAGTTTTCTGCCTCAGGAAGAAGTCTGTTTTGGAGGACTCGGGCAAAAATCTTGCCAGTTACGGACAGCAACGAGATCCCACGGTAGTTGCCACAGTCTGACCGGTCTCCCATATTCTTATAAATATTGACAATGGAAGCGTCGTTAGGAGCTTGGGGGATTTCCTCCTTTCCCCATATATTCTCCAGGAGAGAGTGGAGATGGCTGGTAAGCGGAGGTCCTCCTGCTTTATACACCTCGTCTGGGATTCTATCAGGCCCTGAGGATTTGTTATTTTTCATCTGTTTGATGGCAGTAGCTACCTCATCCAGGGATGGAGGATAGCTGAGGTGGGTCAGCTCTGGATGCTGAGGGACCTGCTGGGTAGTCAGGACATCGACATCGGTGTTTCGGTTGAGCAGTGCATGGTCGTGCTCTTTCCACTACTGAAGGATGACTTCATTGTCTTTAATTATGGAGTTAACATCGGATGAGCGGAGGGGGGCTGCGCCACGAGTGATTGGCCCATAAAATGTTTTGGTGGAATTGAAAAATTAACTCATCTTGTGCTGATCTGCAAACTTTTGTGTTTCACATTCTTTAATTTTAAACCAGTCATTCTTAAGATTGCAAAGTTCCCGCTGGGACACAGGGTTGTTCTACCAGTCAGTTAAAGCAGCACGTTTATCATTGATTGCCTGGTCATTTTCATCAAACCAGTCCTGGTGCATTCTTTTTATCTGACCTAGGGTCTCTGCAGGGTTTTGTCATGACAGTGTTGAGAATATCCCATTTGGCACTGGGATCTGGGTTGTTCGTTGTCAGGTGGTTTATCAGACCATGTTTGAGCTGCTCTCTGATAGCATGTGCTACCGCTGGATCCTCTAGACCCTTTATGTTAAAACCTCTTCTGGAGGGTTGCTGCCTTCGCCGTTTTGGGGGCGACTTGAAGTGAGAACTTGACTCTGACGAGCCGATGATCAGTGTCGCAGTGGTCTGAGCCACGCATGGCACGGGTGATGAGGACATCACAGCGATCTCTTTCTCTGACAATGATGTAGTCAATGAGATACCAGTGTTTGGATCGTGGGTGTTGCCACGAACCCTTGAACTTGCCGGCCTGCCAAAACAAGGTATTAGTGATAGTGAGGTTTTGTGCAGCACACTTGCTGAAGAGGAGTAGGCCATTGGGATTATACTTGCCTAGTCCATTTATCCCTATGGTTCCCTGCCAAATGTCAGCATATCTGCCTTTGAAGTCACCAAGGAGCACAACCGTATCTTCTCTTGGGGTAGAGGTTAGCATTCTGTCAAGGTCGGCATAAAAGGCCTCCTTAATGTCATCCTCTGCATTCAGTGTTGGGGTGTATGCACTGATGAAAAAGGCATGATATGAGTGATTCAGTGGGACTTAGAGCGTATGAGGCGCTCGTTGATCCCAATAGGCATTTC